CTGTATTATTGCAAATCATGGTGGCAATGCTTCTTAGGATCACTATACATGATCGGATACTATCGCGGGAAAAAGGCAAATAAAAATGGCAGCAAAAACTCGATCGACACTGTCGCTTGGCATTATAGAAATTATTACGATATTCAAAGTAAATTATTAAAAAGAAACAAGCACAGGGGTTTGGGAAAAACATGGACATAAAAAATCTAAGAAACCCCTAACATTCAGATCTAAAATAAGCTCGCTATTGCTTTCCTTACGGGATGTTGAATCAAAGAAAAACAGCGGTGGTAGTCAAGGTTTCGAACAAAAACGAAGATGGAAAAGGTCGTGCTAGTGCTTGCACCTAGATAGATGTCCTAAAATTGCGTAAGATATTACTTTAATGAAGATGAATGTCCCAGAAACTGCGTAAGTTTTTTTTCGCTTTTTGGAAACTCTTTCATTTTAGCCAATAATTCAGTCTGCAATACTGAAAAACGTCTTAAATGGAGCAGTTTTTCGAGGGATTGACAAAATGACTACGCTCTAACACATCAAACACGAGGAAAAAAAGGATCCTCTGGTCGTCTTATAACTGGTCATATTTACCAGATGCTCAAAAAAGCATCATCTAGAGCTAGACAGAGTTCAGTTGATGAATTTGTATCACTGCAGCAGAACAAAAAAGAGAAAAGATCCGTTAGCTTAATCTACTATCAATTAGCCATCTTCATTTTAAAACTGAAAACTTCAACTTCTTGCAAGAAGGAGCTTTGCGTACGTCTTAAGTAAAAAAACAACCCAACTGATCAATGGTTGCAGTTCGGCGTCCAATGATGATCGTATAAAAGGGTGCGACAGAGTAGCAAGTGCAGTTTGTTCGCCTTTTTCTTCAAGTTTGGCGGGTTCTCTGCTAATAACTGTGAACTCGCGTTGCGCACGTTTTATATACATACAATTCATATTTTAATTTTACAGGTGTCGCCAGCACTGATGAAACTTGCAATTTTGGTATGTTATCTACTTAAAACAACTCAGCAATCTGTTCAAATCTTATAATAAACTTGCTATTAGATGGCAGCATTATACAACTTAAACCAGCTTTTGTACACTGGTATAATTTTTGGCCAAATGACTATGTAAAAGGGTGCAGCTATACGAAAATTTTGCCCTGCCCAGCATATTCCCAAATTAGTGGTATTTTAAATAATAAAAATGTTGCAGTAGCAACATATACAAAAAAGTAACTTTTTGTAGTAACATATACAAAAAAGTAACTTTTTTATCACTATGGAACTAAATGGGCTGCACGATGACTCAGAATTCAACATAACCAAAATTTATTTTCGATCAAACTTCAATTTACTCGTTCAAAGAAATGTTGAATTTGGAAAAGTTGGCTCAACATCAATTCAATTAAAACAAGGTTAAAAGTTGCTGAAACAGAGAAGAATAGTGCAAAGGGTCTGGTCAAACTTGTTTTCCAGCATTATACAAAAGCAACTTTTTTCGTTTCAGGTTCTCGCCCTTGTGGTCACAATCATCGCCATGGGTAATTAATAAAAGTCCTCTATTTTTAGTAATTCTACTTCTTATATTACAAATTTAAGAGGGCAAAGGATCACATGCTGATGAGAAGAAGGACAAGGAGAAGGACAAGGAAAAGGAGAAGTGTGGTCCAAACGAGAGCTATTCTACATGTTTCAATGGTTGTGAGCCTACATGTAGTACACCTGATGTAATCGAAACTAGTTCAACTACGATTGTAAAACATTTAATGCTAAAATATTGCAGAAGGCGTGCACTGCCGATTGCGGAACTGGAGGTTGCGCCTGTGATGAAGGATTCATTCGCAAGGATGGCGGCGGTTGTGTGAAGAAAGATCAGTGTTGAGCTGGTTCATTCGCATATGAGCATTATTTCTTTGAAAAGCTTATTGCAAGGCAAAGAAATAAACGATGAGCATTGGAAAGATTTCTTTCTAAATTTAAATCTAAAATTCTATTCAAGTGCGCTAAATTTCTCACATCCCACCTATGCGCTATCTACGAAAGAAAAACGCGCCAGCTTTGAAGTAATCGATTCATATGAAAATTGGCTTTCACGTCCAATTACAACCCAAGAGCGTGAACAAAATACCAAAAAAAAACTGGTGAATAATCTAAAATATGACTACATTACTAATAATGAATTATACGCGAGAACTTAAAGTGCACAGAAGTGCTAGAATAATGAATAATAATAACGGGCACTTGAAAACAATTCTCTCTTCTTTATTGAAACGTTTTGCATGACTTAGCCTAATCTATTAGCGACTCTGTACCAAAAGGTTTTGAAGGGCGCTGTGTAGACAACGTAGAAACTCCATTTTTGAAAGATGATTTTCAAAATATTACTCTTCTCTTAATGAAGCGTCTGCTAGTGAGGGTAGCGCTGTTAAAAGGCTTACATCCAAGGAGTACTTCCAATTTGGTGTCATACACACTATTGGTTTTCACAGTTTTTCTTGGCGGTTGTAAACGCCACCAAGGTATGCTATAAATTGCACCAAATTTCATCTGAATTATTCTGAGCAGACTTAACCAGTTAATTAAGTCAATGGAACTCTATAAAGCTGAAAGCATTTATATATATAGGTACGTAGCGTATGATGTATGATGTATGTGTGTACATATGTATTTATGTAATATGTGGGATGTCCGCCCAGCCAAATTTTTTTCTTGGAGCCGATGAGGCTCAAGCTTTGCATACGTATATTTCGAGACGAGCAGGTAATGCTACTTTATAATTTAGTTTGCAGTCTACTGGCTTGCTTCACAATATTTTGATTCCTATCTTTCTCTAAAGAATAAGATAAGGCCATTATCACTGATATCAGACATTCAAACAAGATTATGTAAAGATATATTGTTTGTGAGTGAAAGTACGTTGAAACGGAGCGGTTGCTCAGATGGAAGCAGTGAGTAGTAGAGGGGAGAAACCACCAGACTGTGCACATCAATATTTTCTTTTTGCATTTAGAAAACGAAGAGGTTTTAGGCCATTCTAGGGTAATTGCCAGCTATCATCTGAATTTTCCGGTACTTTCGCTACCTCTCCTGCGTTTCTTTTAAGGGCAAAAAGCAAAGGGTCTTCTCTGATTATGCTTAGAATAAGTGTTTATATGGAGCATTTTTTGGAAAATGTTGCTCTCATACAGCCAATAATGGTTATCCGGATTTGCCGCCTATAAATATATACTAAAACAAATACTCGCTTTGGCTTTCCGATAAGAGTTCAACTTTGCTTGATTCAATCTAAGATCAAGCGGGTGCCCTGAGCTTTTACCCGTTCTATCGACTGATTATTCGTGTATTTGTTTCTGTAAAAAATACAGTCCAGCTACAACTTCTACACCTAAAAATATAACTACAAAATACAGTACAGCTAAAAATACAACTTTGAAGCAAAAGTCATATAAGGGTTCATTCGAAGACTCTGCAATCAACTTCGCACCATTTCAAATGGTCGCCAAATCATCTATTCAAAAAACCCTGAAACAATAGGATATTAGTGTGATTAATAAGTTTCATGGTTGAGTAATAGTTTTACAGCTTAATTAGAAGTAGGTTGATGACAGCAATGAAGCTTCATGAGAAGACAATGTCTGGATTGTAGATCAAGCCTCGGCGATTCTATACAACCTAGCAAAGCCGGGTATGTCAGCTAGTATTTCATAAGATGGATGATATGAGTTTACTCAAGCTAATATGTAAAATTCCTTTCAGTTCAGTAGCACTGTAAAAAATGGATTTGTATTTATGCGCAGTAAGAAAGCCCCGTTTTACAAATTCTCAATTTTGAACACAATTAGCATTTACAGTTCTATTTGAATATCACTATCTTCTATCACTGTTCGGCAAAGGATTAGCGTCATCTTAATTCTGTGGATGAATGGAGATGATAAAACGAAAGTATAGTAAATTGAGCAGAAGTCGAGAGTATTGTGTACCTTGGTTTTCAATTGAAACAATCTTCAAAAAGCAAATTTTGGCTCACGATGCTGCAAGTTAAATCCTAACTCCACGCTGTTCGATGAAAACACATCACAGCAACGTGTTTTGTTGCCCTTACATATTTGCTTATAAGGATATTTGGCTTCTTAGGCCCATTACGTACATCTTGTGTCCTCAGAGGAGACTGATTATGATTAGAGTATCGAAACATATTACAAGGTTGTTGTATGACTTCCATGGATCCAAACGAAATTTTCTAACCTACGATTCAGAATAACATGTGCTAGGAAAACAAATTAGCTTTTTGTCAAAAATGTTTAGGACCGGCTGAGTCATCCTGAATACCTATGCAAACAGTGCAGTATTCCCGTAGCACCTCCTCCATATTCACAATATCTCAGGCTGGTTATTTTTTGAACCCTTTAAAAGCAAAATAAATAGAAGCCTTTTTGGTCTAGCATTCCTATCTCGCTCTGAAATTGCTACTTAAATGGGAGACATGAAAAAAGTATTTGTACCTACATTACCAGCCCGAGATATGAGTACATTACTAAAGAAACGTTACGACGTTATACAAAAATGGTTTTTTTTATTACGAACAGAATTTCACACTCCCACATTAATTTTGAAAAAATACCACATAAACACACTAAATTATCTAAAGTAAATGAACATGAGGTACAAATTTAGGCTTGTTCCTCATAAAATGACGATCCTTTCCCAGAATGATTGTCTGAATCATGATTATGTGATATGTGAAAAAAAAAACTATATTAGCAAAACAACGCACAACTCAGTAGAGGTCCGTGCAAGGTTTACAGTAAGGTAGAAAGAAAAATTGTTTATTTTAATCTATTATCACTCGATATCAATGTAAAGAGTCTCTTTCGTCTTTTCA